AAACAACAACAAACAATTTAGTGCATTTATACTGTGAAGCTCAGACAGCAAAAGTTCTATAAAATCTATACTTGTGGAAGGATTGAATCATAATCTTTGAGTAGGTTAAAATTTGCTTGTAAGAAATTGAGACTCATTGGGCCACATCATTTTGGTGAAAGGTTTCATAACCCTGGTGAAGGATAGGATGGTCATTAAGTAACTCTGCTGTTTAAAGAAGTAAATGTTGGCTGCTCATTTTGTGTTAAAGTGAAAATTAGAGACACATCAAATATTCAATCCAAGAAAATATTTAAATTATACCTCTTTTCCTCACACATGAAAGTGACTATACAAGGAGATAATGAGGAATTTCACAGAACTTTTTAAAGATGATCAGATGAATAAATAACATTTATATGTACATAATAGATTCTATCTGTTGTAGTAAAACTAAACCCACTGATATTAATGTAAACTTGAAATAAGAACACAAACTTTGGAGTTCACTTTTTTCTTTTCTTCTTTTTTAAATGTTTTGCCATAGGGCACTGGAGAGAGACAGAGAAAAGGAAAGTGAGAAATCACTTTCCAGTGGGGAATGGCCATGCCACAATTCGATCTCCTTCATTGTCCTCTCAGGATTTTGGGCGCACACACACATGTGGCCAGTGTGCTTTTCATGCTGCCGGATCTGGGACTAGAACTGCAGTCAGCTATGTGAGAATCCAGTGCCTTAACCACCATGCCACCTGCTGGTCCCAGAGTTCACTTTAAAAAAACGCAAAAACAAACAGCAAACAACAAATGCCTATTCTTTCTCTAGTGTCATCTCTTCCTATGCTGTTTTCATTGGATGGTACATGAAGTTCATAATTAGACAAAAGTTATTAATACAAGGCAGAAGTTCTACTGGAGGTCATGGCAAATACAATATATGATACTAAAAGAGCAATTTACTTAAGTATCGCTTGGGAAGCAATTACAGTTCTGATGATCATTTTTATTGGGATTGATTGGTTTGATATAATACTCTGCATGCTAAAAAGAAGTCTGACACGTTTATGGGTTCAAGTTCATAGAAGCAGAAAGGATATAGATAGAGTCCTCCTAACTGATGTAAAAAAGTAATGGGAAAAGGAGGAATGCTTAACATTTATGTCAGCATCGTAGGATAGACAAATATTTTGACACTGTGCTTTCTTAGAATGTTAAAAGAGAATTGCTGTGTGACTCAGGGATTGACATTTGCAGGACTGAATGCTGGCTAATTTTTTTTTTTCTTCTGGGTGAAGATACCAATTGCACAATACTACCTTTTTGGTCTTTATTTCTTCAAAACAAGAACAAAAAATTAAGTAGATGTCAATGAGAAGAGAGAAAACATTCCATATAGATATGTTGTATCACTAGAGATTAAATCAGAAACAATTAGAAACTTTATTCGTCTGTGTCAATAATGTGTACCATTTATAAGGAACAGCACAATCAGTGCACTTCCCCCTAAAGCTGTGCACAATACACACAAAATGAAATAATCAAACAAATAAAATGAAATAATTTTACACAACTATAATAATTAATAACCCTGAACAGTCAGAATCATATTTTCCCTATAGCATGAAAATTTAGAAAGCAAACAAACCAAAACGCTTTGAAATTGAAATTGACCAACAGCAAAAATTTCTTAGTTTTCTGTGAAAATTCACTATGGGATTATTGACATTTCAAATATGACTAAAAATGAGTGAAAACTCTTTCTAATGTTTAAAAAACTTATATCCCTTCACTATACTTAATTGGTAGGCTATCTTTCCCTTTAGTAACCACCCACCCCCACCCCCCACCCCCGCAAAAAAAAAAGAGACTAGGGGTTAGGATGTACTCCCCAAAGAGTTAGATCACCTATGTTGGTAGGCCATGGTAGAGGACGGATGGGTTTCCATTGACAGATGAGGAATCATAAGGGTATGGGTTGTAGAAAAGTATTGTTGCAGTAACGATAAAAACTGGGATTAACTGGGCCTTCTCAGTGACCTGTAATCACCAACATGATTGCCCTTTTTGGCTTAAAATGGGGAGAAGCACATTTCTGCAAGTTCCAAACCTATGCATTACATTTCCTTAAAGGAAGTCTGACTTTTTTTTGAGAACTGTGTCTGTGAAAAAGAGTTCCATAATTTTGTTTTCTCTTGCAAGATAAACCCATTTCTATATAAAGGTGTTAACTTTTCCTTAACATTAACTATGAAACCCCTGAGGACAGAGATCTGAGCTGTCTCACTTCGAGTTTAGTCCCTGGGAGATAGCACCTACCTGGCATAGTGAGTGGGTAACCAGCATTTAACTACTCATTCTATCACCAACTATTTACTAAAGGATGAATGATTATGATTACTGAGTAGAAGAGAAAATAAGTCTTGACAGCTTTTATATAAAGATAGTATTTTTGAATCAATAGAGCAGGCCGGGGATGTCTCCAGCCTAAGCTTTCTTATAAACAGAGAGATCGGTGGGAGAAGACCAAAGTCACTCTATTTTTTTCTCATTAGTGGACCCAGTATTCTGGAGTGTTGCATTTATCCAGACTCTGGTGTTTTGAAACAGAATCATACATTTTAAAGGATTAAAACCTCCCCGTGCAATCCTCCTGGGAGGCACTGATCTTACTTAATTGACTTCTCTTTAGTCATAAGCAGAGGAGACACACTTTAAATTTCCACTGGTCATCCTGGCTTTTTTCCTACCCAGTAACTACTGATATAATCGGAGGGGTCTGGACTAGACTGTGAAAGAAACAGGGCTCAAAACAGCCTTTACATAAAAAAATAAAACGAACAAACCAGCACTATCTACCATCTGTGCCAGACAGAGCAGATGTGAAATAAATACTATGGGGGAAGGAGTGCTGCGAAAATGGTGGCTCTGAAAACCCAGGCATCCTCTTCTCTACAACACCTTTCTCCTTAGCCTTCCTGAATGAACAGGTGATTCATAAAGGCCTCTGATGTATTCCACATGGCTCATTTTCTCTGAAGATCTTTGTAGTTTGCTTACTATTCCTTCAACAATTTCTCCCCACATGACAGTTATTGCTTCTTAGAAATAAATGTGCAGATCCATGAACAAGAAGCCATTTTCTTCCTTTTATCTCTAGTCATAATCAAACTCAATAACAATGCAAAAGTAACAACTCAGGTGAAAAGAAAACTCACTTATGTCTTCAATGTCCAATCAATATCGCTGAATGGTGGGAGAACAGTATATGTTATACTCTACTATATACAGATACGCTTTGTTTTGTTTTATTTGTATTTCATCCATGCACTGTGTAACAGGTATCACAACAACATTCCCAAACAGGCACATGAAGAAGGAGCAAATGTTCAGTCATGACTGGAACAGGATTGTGCAAGCCATGGATGCCTTCGAAAATAAAACTGACAGACAATCCCAGGCAACAGCAACATGGAACTGGGACACATATTGATGCAAATGGAAAAAAGATGTGTTTTGAATGGGGTTATTCTTCCGTTTGCGAAGGAGAAGTTGCAGGGAGGCTCTAGAAGGTGGGTTGGGATAGAACATCTGGGGTAATCTGGGCTCGAACACTGGAATAAGGGCCTTGCTAATCATAGTCCAGAGCTAAAGAGATAAGAAATAAAGGATTTTGCACGTTCCTGGGAATCTAGGCACATTACCCCTGTACCTGTTGAACAAGAGTGCCAAGCATTGCAGCTTTAGATTTTAAACTATATCTAGAACCATCACTTTTGCTGGTTCCATTCCAACTCCTGTGCTTCTTCGTGGAGGCAGCTTCATCTCTGTTCACATTCCGGAGATGAGCATGAAATTTGGTAAGAGTGGAGACATGCTTCTTTCTTCTTCCATGCCCAGATCCTTTCTTAATCCAAAATAATTTTTAAAGTGTTTGAAGGAGGTGAGGGGAATCTTAATGACTTAAATGTTTGCCAAAAGCCATGTACATTTGGATGAGTTATCACCTCCCACAAAGAGAAGCAAAAACCCTGACCCTTCTGACAAAACAAAGCAAAAAAAAGAAAAGAAAAAGACAACCAACCACCTCCCCAACCCTACTGAAATCAAAATTTAAAACAAACAAACAGAAAAACAAATAAAAATCTTAACAATTTATGAACCTGGAGAGAATACAGCTCTTCTAGGCTGAGCTGCAATGATGGCCCTGCCTCCATGCCTTGTTCAACATGATGATGCCCTTCAGAGTGGGAGGTGATGGTCTCTTACTTCAGCCCTAGTACAGAGTATGCTCTTGAAGCTGGATTCCATCAGCAGGTAAGTGAACATGACAAATGTCAGTTTCCTCTGTTCATTATACATAATCTTTTATGTATATATATATATATGTATATATATATAAATTTACTATATCTGATTGTTCCTTTAGAAGCCTTTTATGTGGCAGTAGGCCTCCAGGGAGGAGAAAAAAATGTACAAGAGCCACAGGAGCACAAAGAGGCAGGATGTGAGGAGCTTGGCAGTCCGGGGCCCACCCAGCTCACCTCCAATTTCTGGCCTCCGCCGATACAGCAGCACCCCCACATTGATGAAAGCAAAAATGGTGAAGAGAGTGACAGAGAAAGCTAGCGTGCCAGGGGACACTTTGAACTCTTCTCCATTCGCTGCATGGTAGATGGCAGCAATGGACCAGGCCACACCGATTCCCAGAAAGACGTTCACCGCATTGCTGCCAGTGACGTTACCTATGGATGCATCTGCATACTGGTCCTGGGTGGCTGCCACTTTGCTGGCAAATGTATCTGCAGAGGAAGAAGAAAAAAGCAAAGACACTCGATTAAACTTTTAACGGTATCTTTGGAGTGCTGGAAGCTTTAGTGTGTATTATAGAACCGAATCCTGGATATAAACCTAGTGACCAAGTGTGGTTGTTGATCTTCCTTTGAATCAGAGTCATGTGGTTAGAAGGACTGTATCTAGAAATTAAAACTGAAGGGTTTGGTGCACTATATCTGAATATTCCTTTAGAAGCCTTTTATGTGGCAGTAGGCCTCCAGGGAGGAGAAAAAAATGTACAAGAGCCACAGGAGCACAAAGAGGCAGGATGTGAGGAGCTTGGCAGTCCGGGGCCCACCCAGCTCACCTCCAATTTCTGGCCTCCGCCGATACAGCAGCACCCCCACATTGATGAAAGCAAAAATGGTGAAGAGAGTGACAGAGAAAGCTAGCGTGCCAGGGGACACTTTGAACTCTTCTCCATTCGCTGCATGGTAGATGGCAGCAATGGACCAGGCCACACCGATTCCCAGAAAGACGTTCACCGCATTGCTGCCAGTGACGTTACCTATGGATGCATCTGCATACTGGTCCTGGGTGGCTGCCACTTTGCTGGCAAATGTATCTGCAGAGGAAGAAGAAAAAAGCAAAGACACTCGATTAAACTTTTAACGGTATCTTTGGAGTGCTGGAAGCTTTAGTGTGTATTATAGAACCGAATCCTGGATATAAACCTAGTGACCAAGTGTGGTTGTTGATCTTCCTTTGAATCAGAGTCATGTGGTTAGAAGGACTGTATCTAGAAATTAAAACTGAAGGGTTTGGTGCTGTGTTACTGACCAAGAAAGTAATCTTGATCAAGTTCTTTGCCCATAGAAATCACAGTTCTTTGCAATATTGAATTTGCAAGACGGTATTTTTCAAAGAGTAATTATACCCACCTACATCCGAGTCAAGTAGGGTCCGTTGAAACAGACAATACTACAAGGTGCTATGGTATGAATAATAGTTCGTCCCCCAAAGTTTCATGTTTTGAAATGTGGTCCCTAATATAATGACATTGGGAGGTGATCATACCTCTAAGATAAAGATTTGCCTTCAATGTGAGTGGGCACCATCTAATTAGCTGGGAGTATGAACAGGACAGAGGAAGTAGAAAAGTCTGTTTTCTCTCTTTCTCTGTATAGCTACTGACCTGTGTGCTTCTTTTGGCCATGTTGTGAAACAGCAAGATCCTAAGTATCTTTTCAGCCACAAGAATCATGAGTCAAAAACCCCTCTACTTATAAATCACCCAGTCTCAGGTATTTCTGCTCAGCAACATGATAATGGACAAATACACAAAGCTACCTCCAGCATGAAGGCTCATAATCAATGGAGCCAAGAAATCTGTATTAACAATATCTCTAAATATTCTAGGTCACTAAGGGTTGAAAATGGCCACAGGAGGGTATTTCTAAAAGATGCTATATCAGCAGCTCTAGTTTATAGATGAAAGAGTTAAGGTGTCAGGAGGAATTTTTAAATATTCAAGAGTAAGTCAATAGTGACATTGAAAGAATTGAACTATGATAAGAGCTGACATTTTCCGAGAGTCTTATGAATAGGAAGGCAGATTGACCTATATTACTGGTTCATCGTGATAATAATTCTACGAGGTGAGAAAACAAGACTTAGTGACAATGAATAAAGGGTCCAATTCACACAAGTAGCTAGAAGCCATGTTATGGCTTGAGCTCTGGCCTCCTATCTTCTGGACTAATGTGAGTTCATTGTGCCATCTCTGCTCTGGCCATGCCATGGGTACCAATGACCATCCTCAGAGCTCTTTGATCACCAATAGTCCTGAAGTGTACCTTGAAATTTTTTTTACGTTTATTTATTTATTTATTCCATGAGCACGAGACTCACAGCAAGGTCTTGATGCTGTGATCCACCCAGCTTCAGCCAGCCCTGGATTGTGGGCATGTGTATACCTGGTGTATTCAGGGAAGTCTCCAGATGCAAACCAGGATCCTCCCCATATTGGTTAGCCTTTCAGAGCATCCTGTTTTACTGCCATGCCACCATCCAGCCCCTTGAATGTACCTTTCTTTGAAGATAGAAAATCGTGGTCCATTACTGTGGGTTAGAAAACAGCAATCTTACCTTCACAATTGGTTGTGTGACCCCGAGCATATTACTAAACTTTTCTGAGACTCAATTTTCTAATCTGAGAAGTGGGGATAGTGACACCCACTTCAAAGTGCTGTTGTTAAGTTGAAATATTTATATGTCAGATGCTTTTTATGTTCTTTAGCACAAAGTAGGAGTAGCTCTTTATGTTATTCTATAAAGACAATGTAAATAGTATATATCAGTTTAAAAGTTGGGGAGGAATCTGAAAAAGCTACCTTGATTAGAACATGTAAATAGCACTTGCGAGATTCTCAATTTCTTGTCTATGTGATGCCCGGTTGCTGACGTTAAAGTCCTTTCAGCTGCTTTTGAAAAATTCTTTGCACAGTAGATTTATACTAGATGTTAAAAGCTGTCAAATTGAACTCATATTTGAGAAGTCTGTCATCATAAGTATTACATGACTAAAAGGTGTCTTATTTGCTCTGGTCCTTCTGAAGTCTCCCCTGTGTTGTTTTTTTGGGCCACCATCCTTCCTCAGTAAATCTCCAATGGGAACAATACATACTGCCTGTAAGTTTACATCAACCTGTATCTTCTCATGCTTTATGATAGGCAAGAAAATTATTGAGGCTGCCCAGTGGCCACTGCATCTGCAGTATCTCACTCTTCCTGAGAGGGAGTTGGTCAGCACTCAGGGTCTCTCATTGATGTTGACCTTTGTCTGTGAAGAAAAGCAGGTTTTATTACTTGTCAGTGATTAAGGGAACTAAGGCAAACACTGCTTATTCCATGCCAGGCACTATGCTACACATATTCTTGTAAAGTCTCATTCAACGTCCTCATAAACCTTACAAACTAGATGTCATTATACTCCGCTTATAATTTGTGACACTATAATGTAACATTATGCCCCTTGGACAAGGTGTTTTGTCAGCAGAACAAGAATTTATAATCAAGTCTGTTTGATTTATGAGCCTATTCTCAATCCATACCACACTACCCCTTCCAGGAAGACTGAAGTTTCCCTTTCTTCTATTTCAGATTGCCTTGTTCCTTTGACTCAGAAACTTTGACGTCGGTTCTCGCTGAACACTCTTTACTGTACTGGGGAGACAAAAACTGAAAAAAGTATAGGCAAGTTCCAGGACTTGTGCTGCTTTGTACATTTATGATCACATTTTATAGTCCAATCAGACTGATGAATGAAAACAAAGCAAGACAAATCTTACATCTCTTGGCATTTCAGTATTGAGGGTTACCAGGAGCTTCTGCTGCTGCTGCAGCAGCATTAAAAAAAAAAAAAAAAAAAAGGTATTTCTTTTTTTTTTCAAGGACACGCAGTAAGGACAGGGGAGACAA